GGCTTGCCGTGGTTTTCTTTCCTTGAAGGAGCCGTGTATGGCTTGAAAGAGGCTAGAAGGGGAAGGAAGCAGCTTGCCTTCACAGCTCAGATATCCCACCCTGCCTTGGCAATCTCCCCTTTTACAAGCTGAGGGTGCTGAATGGCCTGTCCCAGGTTGCACTGTCTCCAGTAGACATTTTGATCTGTTGCTATGCAGTGTGTGATACCTGGGAAATGACCGGCAAGATCATCAGGTGGATAATATTTCAACAAGGGAGTTCATCGGGGCTTCAGGTTCAAAAGTTGGCATTGACTAGCGCAGTAAAATCCTCAGGAACTCCTTTACCTGTCATCTTTTCAGATTCAAAGACCAGTAGGGGATCTGGAGCATTTAAGGTACCGTATTTGCCGGCGTATAAGACGACTTTTTTGCCCCGAAAAACATGCCTCCAAGTGGGGGGGTCGTCTTATACGCCGGGATATCCACTGCCGGCTTTCGGATGCTTGTTGGACGCAGCGAAGGCGCCTCTGGCTTCCTGGATCCCCTGCGTCGTTTCCGCTTCATCCCGCTCGCCTCGCTCCGCCCGAGGCTGCAGCCTTTCTGCTCTTCCCACGGCCCCTGGCACTCTGCCCTGCCGCTGCAGCCCCGGGGATTTCTGGAGGGCGTTTCCGGTGGTGGTGGTGGGTCGTCTTATACGCCGGGTCGTCTTATACGCCGGCAAATACGGTAGCATCTGTCTGCACCTGGCGTTACCAGAATCAGGTTTTGATTGCATGCTACCCTTCTCTTGCTGTTATTCTAACTATGTTGTTCACTGCCTCAGTGGATTGGAGCAGTCCGTAAATACTCTTACTGAAGTAAAAGAGCAACTAAGATGATCAAAGGCCTGGAGACTAAAACATATGAAGAACGGCTGGAGGATTTGGGCTTGGCAACTCTAAGAAAAAAGAAGAACTAGAGGTGACATGATAGTAGTCTTCCAATATTTGGGGGGCTGCCATAAAGAGGAGGGGATCAAATCATTTTCCAAAGCACCAAAAGGCAGGACAAGAAACAATGAATGGAAAACTAATCAAGGAGAGGAGCATCCTAGAAGTAATGAGAAACTCCCTAAAGTGAGAACAAATAATTAATGGAACAGCTTGCCTTCAGAAGTCATGGGTGCTCCATCACTGGAAGTCTGAAGAAGAGACTGGGCAGCCGCTTGTCTGAAATGGTCCAGGCTCTCCTGTTTGAGCAGGGGGTGGACTAAAAGACCCGCATGGTGCCTGCAAGCTCTATTCTTTTCATATTCAAGCTGTCCAGCCCTTTCTTGGATTTGCATGGCTGTCCTTTGCAGAGGATCCTGGGGGACAGAGCATAACTGGCTCCGTTTGTGCCTCTTTGTGGTGCAAGGCCTTTGAATTGGAAGTGCTCCCCCTCCACAGTTTAATAGACATAATTGATGCTTTTCTCTAGATGAAGTTTCCCTTGACTCTTGAGGCCATCAAAAGCCATGGAGTTTTCAGAAGAGATTGGCTTCTGGAATGTTTTGATATCCCAGGCTAGCCTACATTTTCCAGGGATTTCTGGATGAACTACAACTTCCATTATCCCTTCATCGTACCAACTGGGTATGGTAAAAGGCACCGTTTAACCCTTTGGTAGGATGGCAGACTGAAGAAAGTTGGATTTACTCAAAGCAATGTTGTCTCAAAACAGGGACTGGCAACTCCAATACTTTTTTGGATTCCTCTGGATTTGTAGACTCCAGAGCCCCATAAAACCTTAGCTTTTATAAATATGTCCCTTAAATTTATTTTAAATATATTTAGTATGACTTTTATAGGCTAAATTAGGAGCAGGAGGAGCCCTACCCAAAAGAGCCTTCCTATCCCTTCACATGACCATCAGGGGAAAAGATAGCAGTGCTTGGTTTTCTTTTCAAAGAAAAACTAAAAAAAGGAAAATGTTAATTCAAAAATCCAAGCCACATTAAAAAAAAACTATGCTGGTTGTTAAAACTTTTCAAAATCAACTAAGTCCAGGCAGAAAAGCTAAGAGAGATGAGCAGACAAAAATGCCAAACTCCTGATATTCAAACCAAGGAGGAGAAAACTTACTAGAGAATTGATCTATTGACAAATCCATTAAATGCCACTAAATTCTGTTCAAATGTAGTTGCCACCAGGAAGCACTGCTTCTGAATTTCTCCTCCTCCTCCTCCATTATTTGATTCATGGACTTCACTTGGTTTCTTTGCTCTTTGACTATAAATAAAAGTATTGATATAAGCTGAGTTGGACTATCACAGGAGTGTTCTAATCTAAACTGTTGAGTCCTTCCTTCACACTGGATCTGCCTAGACTTTATTCCAAAACTGCTGGCACTAGCCATCTCCAATTGCAGGAGCCGAATTACTCAAGAGTAATGGCTACTCCTGAGGAGGCTGTCCTTTAATGGTACCTCTCCATGTAACTTCCTGCTTCATTGCTTCCCTGCTCTTTCAATCGAATGGCGTCAACTCTCTTGTGGGCTACGTAGACACAGCTTGAGAATGAAGTTAAAGTTTACAGATCAGCTTAGGAACATGGAGTTATCAGTGCCTCATCACTGATCTGGGAGTCTAATCAGATCTTCTTGGTGGTTGCATCTTCAATGAGATCTCATCTCTGTAAGACCTGACTCATAGTTGGAGTAAAAGGCTGAATCACATGCTTATTTCCATGCTTAACTAGAGGAAAGATTATACCCAGACATGTATTAAAAACCAGAGATTCTCTTCTGCTTGTTCCATTATCCTAAGGCTGCTGTTGTGATTTTTAGAAAGCAGTGGTCACTTTACCAGGACAAGCGAAATATTTTTAAGAATTCAAGATAGTATGCTTTCTGCTTCAAGAGCTCCTTCCCTCCTAGCCTCTGGCTAGATGGTCACAAAAAAATGGCTGGTTGAGTAGAGTCCCTGATATAAAAAGGAACAATTACAACACAGCTGCAATTTTGCATGCCAGGTTTGGAAGGATTACGTATGTTGTTTTGTCTTTTAATGTTATCCCTTAAATCCAAGGACAAGATATTTATGAGCACTGAAGGAAGACTTACATAATAAGATCAGTACAGCTTCACTCTTCAGATGCCACCAGAAGTAATTGGATTGGTCAACAACTGCCAGGGAATTTGGTTCTAATTCTTTGTTCCTTAGGTCTACCATTCTCCATAACTCAGCCTTTCCTGTTTACTGCTGTGCTTTCATCCTGACCACATTAGTGCCCAACATAATCAGCAAACTAAAGGTGCTTTTCAAAAGGCAAACTAGGACTTTCTTGGCTTTTTTCCTTGAAAACATTTCATTTCTCATCCAAGAAGCTTCTTCAGTTCTGACTGAATGGTGTGAAATGGAAGGATTTATATTATTGCAATCATCCGATCATTAGCACTCTGAAGGCCAGTCCTTAGCTCTCTGAGAGTCATTGAGGCCATTTGGGTGTTTAGATGTACCCTCAGCATCACCTGAACCAGAGTGCAAATGGCTGTGGAACCTTCTTAGGACTGCTGAAAGGACTGTATTGTAGACTAGAGGTAGACAATGTTGTATCCCTCCCCTTCTATTGCGAGAGGGCTGCTCAATTTTAACATGGATCTTTGACCCCTCTTTCAAACCAGGGGTCCTTTCTGTCCAGAGTGTGACAAGTTCACATCAGTTCTGAGCATTGAAGTCCACAGATCTTCAAGTTGCCAAGGTTGAGAAATTCTGTTCCAGATGCCAGGTAGGTGGGCTGACCCCAACAAAGTTGGACGCAAAGAGGTTGAGATAAGACAAGAATAGTATCGAACACTCCTGTAGATGTTCTCAGCCATCATGGCTGAGTTTACCCTCAGAGAAAAGGATGCAGAGTTTAAATCCTGGAGTAGACACATAAGCATGACTAGAGCCTTAGATCCTGCAGTTGCAGATCAATGTCACTTTCACAGCATCTTCCATTAAAGCTACTTATCTGAGTCTAGCCCATGAAATTTTCACTACTAAGCTCCTCAATGCGTGTTGGTATTTCTAAAAAGCCATGGTGGTGAAGTGGTTAGAATGCAGGATTGCAGATGATTCTGCAGACCGCCAGAAATTTGATCCTGACCAGCTGAAGGATGACTCGGCCTTCCATCCTTCTGACATCAGTAAAATGAGGATCCAGATTGTTGGGAGCAAGAGGGTGACTCTGTAAACTGCTTAGAGAGAGCTGGAAAGCATTATAAAGTGCTATACAAGTCTGTGCATTTGCTAGTGTTAGAGACAGGTTGTTTGTTCTTTGTGGGATGGAGCTCTGATACTTCAGATTTCAACTTTCACAACCTTTGCCTTTGCCAAGGGCTTGGGGGGGGGATGGGGGGATACAAAAATTCAAGTGACAATGGTCTAATTGAAGCCCTGATCTCTTCTTTACATGAGATGCATATCAAAAAGGTCTGGGACTCCTAGGCAGCTGCCATATTCATTTTTTTTTCACCCAAGCGTATCTCTCCTTGACTATGCTATTAATAGGATTGATTGGAATTGGATATCTGCTTTGATCCTCCATGTGGTCTCCATAAGAACCTGGTGATAGCACATCACACCAACCTCCATAACCATTCTGATTTTTTTAATGGAACATAGAATAAGGGACTTTGGATGCCTTCTAGAGACATTGCAGCACCACCAATGGCAGAAAATCTTGACTATAAAGCCGAAACAGGAGCCCTATGGAAATTGTTCTAGCCATGACGTTGCCACCCAAATTGAGATCTGAATTACAGAAGACAGAATAGCAGAGCTTTAAGGGTCCTTGAGGGTCTTCTAACCCTATACCATTCCGGACAAATGGATCACCAAAACCTTCGGTGATGAGCACTCACAACACATGAAGGCAAGCCATTTTAATGATTAATTGTCCTCCCTGTCAGGAAATTTCTCCAAATCATCTTGGCTCCAATTCATCTTTTCCTTTCTCCTCTGCCTCCTCCTTATCTTTCCTATGTTATCTGAATCAACGAATCAATAACATTACCTTTAACAAAGACATATAACTTGGCTGTCAGTTCCTCCATGAAGGGCAGGTGGTCATAAAAGCAGATGAAATAGCCGGTGTCATTGGCCACAGCTCGGTTAACTCCAATTGTGCTGCAGGAAGGCCATGGTTTCTCTGAACATTTCTGCTTGTGAATATGCCACCGCTTGCTGTGGGTGATCTGTGCATCTTCAGCTTGCCAGGTCAAGCCATGCGAGCCCCTAGCAAGAGAAAGTACCATTCCATCAGTTTCAGGCATAACATAAGATGCTGCCAGGCAACTGGCCACAACCACATGGCTGTTTGCTGCCTGGCCAACAACAACCTTGGCCTATAAGGAAATCATTAAGGAGACTACACACCAGGATAGGAAGATCAAAGGACAATCTAAGAAAATGGGACTCCCTTACAGAAAATAATTCTGTTAATATGGGGAACAACCCATATCACACATGCTATGGTACAGACTGTGTCCTTCAGCACGCACAGAGGAAGACCTCATGCTGGGAAAGAAAACATGGCCCGATACTGAGCAAATGTCATTTAGTTTTAATCCTATTAAAATCCTATTTTTTTTATAAAAAAATTATTTGGGTTTTCACAAAACATAATACAAGTAAAATTTCTTTTTTTGAGAATAGCATGGTCCCGAGTTATCACTTCTCCATACAGACACAAATTCAATTCCATATTCATCTTTGCGTTCTATTCCATAACTTATTACTATTTTAACATTTTCTCAATAATTTTCCCTTCCCTTAATTTTTCTCAATCTTACTTTTAATTATCTCATTCCTTTCTAAATTCAATTATATATATATATATATATATATATATATATATCTTTTTCTAAGTTTCAATACCTTTCTAGTCATCATAAGTATACTTTTGTCTGTCCTGTTTCAATTTCATATTTTCTTTTCTCATTAAACAAAATTTTCCCCTGTAGTTACTAATTGGAGTATGACACCTTTGTATCTTTTAATTTTTATCCATTCAACTCTTATTTAAACTTCAATTTATGCCTTTACAATTATAACATTCAATATAACTTCCAGTCAAAATCTGCTTGGTACAGTCTTAAAATACGCACTAAGTTCTTAAAGAGAAAGTATATATATTACAATAATAAATAAAATACTTATTCTATTCCAATTCAGCTCTATCATTAATGTTAGTTATAATCTTTAACATCTTTAACATTTCTTTTCAATAGGATATCTTACTTCTAGGAACACTTATAATATTTCCATAATTTTTTTCATATTTCTTTCATATTCCTCTTCACTTAAATTTTTATAACACATTAATAGTAATTAAAATGTTCCCCTCCTTTCCTAATTTCATTCTCTCTTTCTCTTTATTTCATTTATTTATTAAACATTCCATTCCATTACAATTAGTATTTTATCTATCATTTTAATCACACTTGTTTCATATTTTCAAAGTTCATTTCTATTTCTAATATAACAATACTATCTTATGTACCCTTGCAGAATCCCCCTTTCAATTAAATTTTCACCCATTATCTCTGTGTCTTCTAAATAGGCTTATACCTTTAATCCTTGTATGTTTTCCCTGTTTCTCTATATCCTGTTTCTGTCCTTTATAATTTCTTTTCCTTTCCCTCTCCCCCTCTTCTTCTCCCTTCCCTTTTTGACCCCTTCCCTTTCTAATTCTGATTCTCTCTTCTGTAATCCTCTCTTCTGTTTCTTCCTAATATTGTAATTACTTTTCAAACAATTCTTTTTTGGGGTTGTTTTTTCAAATCTTAAATTTTTCACTCTCTTTCCCCCCTTTCCTTTCTTTTCCCCACATAGAAATACTTGGTCATTGAAGATGGCTTCTTCTTTGTCCCACCCTTCTTGTTCAACAGGCATTTCTTATTGTTTCTCATAGTTCAGGATCTCCATTTCTAAAAATTGAAACACGAAGCCAAAAGAACTTCTTCCTTCTTGTGCATCTTCTTTCTGTTTTTTAAGTTCCATTCTCAATTCTTCCAAGAGTGATACCATTTTAAAAACTTTTAAACAACCACCCAATTAATTTTAGTCCTTTAGATCCAATAGCCCAAAATCCAAAAATCACTAAGTAATCCAAATAATCCAAAGCTGTTTCTTCTTGTTTCTTTTTTCCACTTTCTCTTCCTGGGGTTCTATTATCTTGTCACAAAGTTTCAGTTAAAATGTATCTTTTAGGAATCTTGTTAAAGTTTCACTATTAATTCTTTTCACTTCCAGGTGGTCTCCTCCATTTTTCCAGATCCCACCCTTTTGTTTTTTTCCTTCTTTGAAAAGTTTTTGAGAATCCAGAAATCTTTATTATCCCTTTGACATTTTATTTTCATCTTAAATGCCTGTTAATGTCAAAGTGGATTTTTGACGATTTCTTGCTTAAATCTCTTAGCTGTCAATATCGGGAAGAAAAAAAACCCCAAATCCTTTCCCTTCCCTCTCTCATTCGCCGCTTCAAAGTCTTCTTTGGGAGCAATGTTATTCTTTATAATTCAAATTCCAGGGTACCTTATATTGTTGCTTTTTCAGTTCGACATGGTCAGCCAAAACTTTCTCTTCTTATCTTCCTCCTGCACATTCTTTTCCGGTTGAGTTCTTCTTTGAGGTGGCCATTTCTGACCACTGCTGCAACTGCCTTCGGGAAAGGGAGTAATGGCCAGCTGGTGAAGAGAGATGCGACTCTCTTCGACCCTGCTGGCAGTCTCCCCCCTCTTCACCACCTCTACGGGGTGGCTAAGCCCTGAAACCAGCCAGCTCGGAGTGCTCCAGCAGCGAGCACAGATCAAAAATGTGCACGATCGCGGATTTTGGTCTGACACCGAAGAAGCTCAAACCAGACTCCCCGTTTTAATCCTATTTATTCTACATGCTTTTGCATATGCTACATTTTCTATGAATTATACCTATTTTATTTGCTCAGTTTTGAATGTTATATAGCTATAATTTGTAGGTGCTTCTGACATGAATAAACAAGGGCAACATGGAAACTTAGTTTGGTGAAGACTAGGAATCAGGAAACCTCCCTTATTTGCAGAAATTGGCTGGGTGAACTTGGGCCAGTCATCCCCTCTATCTAAGCCTAACCGACCTGGGGGACAAAACAAGAAGAGATAAAATACACATAATGAGTACAGAAAAGAGCAACAAAGTTGAATAGGGGGCTGGAGACTAAGACACATGAAGAACCATTGCAGGAATTGGGTATGTCTAGTCTAGTGAAAAGAAGGACTAGGAGTGCTGTGATAGTAGTCTTCCAAAATTTGAGAGGCTGCCACAAAGAAGAGGAGGTTAACCTATTTTCCAAAGAGGCAGGAGAAGAAGCAAGGATGGAAACTAATCAAGGAGAGAAGCAACCTGGTACTAAGGAGAATTTCCTAACAGTTAGAACAATCAACCACTAGAATGCCTTGCCGTCAGAAGTTGTGGTTGCTTGATCACTAGAAGCTTTTAAGAAGAGATTGAACAGTTATTTGCCTGGAATGGTATAGGGTCTCTTGCTTGAGCAGAGGGGTTGGTTTAGAACAGCGGTTGCCAACCGGCGGCCCGCAGCCCACTGGTGGGCCGTGAGAAAATTTTGGTGGGCCGCAGAGATATCTCACCCCCCAAAGCAATTAATCCAGGCTGCACAGAAACACAAGGCTGCTCAGCCCACATGGCCCGCAGGAACCCTCCCCGCCCACTCATTCCTTACCCGGTAAAACTTGTCTGCTAAGTTGCTATTTTTCCTTTTCCCGACCATCATCTGTTCTGCAATGCCGGGAGATTTAGATTAGCTAGGAAGCAGGAAATGGTTGGATTTCTTGCTTTCTAGCTAAGCGCAGCCGAACCTCCCTTAGGACTGAAGGTTTGCTTGCAAGCAAATTCAGTGCAGACTCACAGCAAGCAAATTTGAGAGACTGAGCTAGCCGATGACAGATAGATTGATCGTTGAATGATTCTGTGAGCAACTCAATCTGCCTGCCTGCTTTGCCTGATTTTGGGTAAAAGTTGCTCTTTTTTTAAATAAAAAATTCAATATTTATATAAATATTTATAATATTTACATACAAGCCATGTCCAGCCACATGACCACCAAGCCACACCCACAAATTAGGCCACACCCACAGAACCAGTTAGTGGTCCCTGGGATCTAAAATTATGAGTTTGGTGGTGCCTGAGGTCCAAAAGGTTGGCGACCCCTGGTTTAGAAGACTGCCAAAGTCCCTTACAACTCTGTTATTCTATGTTCTACATCAGGGAGAATTGTGTATGCCACTTTGAATTGTACATAGTAAAGTTGGGATGTGAAATCTAATACAAATAAATAAGCAAGTGTGGAAATTCCACCTTAAAGGAAATCTGATTGAGCAGTGGAGTAAAGTTTGTGTTTGGCCATGCTTCATAGCAGGGGTATCCAACCTTGGCAACTTTAAGACCTGTGGACTTCAACTCCCAGAATTCCCCAGCCATGCTGGGTATTTCTGGGAGTTGAAGTCCACAAGTTTTAAAATTGCCAAGATTGGACATCCCTGCTTTACAGCACAGTGATGTGTTTTCTATGTCCAGTGGAGGTTTATTGGCCACAATAGAGCCTATGCTCCCAGATATAAAACTACCTGGTGCAGAGAATTGTTTCAGTGTTTCTCCTCTTCCTGGAGCCCCAGGAATCAAACAAAGGTAAGAGATTATAAGGCAAGGAGGCAGGCTGTTAGGCCTGTGCAACCTTTTGGAAAACATTAGGAGAAAGTAATTCAGAGTATCAATGTTGCACTACCTGTCTTTAGAGCATTTCCTTTGCTTTCTTTTGACCAATATTTAAATGTTCCCCACTTGTATGATTCTAGAATCTTTCCCTGGCTCATCTGTTTGTCCTCTGTTCCTGTCATTTGGTCCCTGGAAAAGACATGACTGCTTTCAAGAATGAAACACACCGGCACGCTTTGAAGCCCTTGGGGGAAATGAAATGTGATCATTCCCTAGAGAATATTTTAGATCTCCCATTCCTCCTATCCCTCTTCTGTGGTCCATCAAGATATATCAGTATTAGTAACAATTCTGCTAACCAGCTAGGAGCCATTTTTAGCCTCTCCTGGCTTTCCTCCTCTGTCTTTGTAATGCTAATCACAAGTTTTCCAATAGTGTTAGTTCTGACTATGCAAGTGCAAAAGAACAATTCATGCTTTAAATTTAAGAATAGATAACATCTTTCAGAGGAAGACTTTTTCTATCTTGGTCCTGACCATGCCAAATTTTCCTCCTCCTCCTCCTCCTTCTTCCCCCCCATCCCTTTCCTTCTCCTTCAAAGCAACTGGCCAAGATGGGGATAGATACCACCTGCTGGTGTCTTTCACTGAATTTTCAACCTAAAGAGGTCACAAAACACTTATGACTCACACTGTTTGCAAAATTGATTTATTTGGCATCCAGTTGCATAATTGCATTACCCACTATCGTGTTCTTTCATGTTGAAGAAGATCCTGTAAACCACCTATTTTGCTGCCACTAAATCCTGCAATCTTGTCTTTATTCAGCAAGGCTGTCACAGGTCAGCAACTTCTCAAGCTGCTTCGGGAGATAAATGAACCTGTTCAAAGGTTCTGGGGGATTAAAGTGTGGGAGTGCAATCTTTCTTTTCTGCAATGCAACGGGCTGTTGGGAAAGATAACCACAGCAATAATAATGCCATTGTATGGTGTTGGGTTGTGTGTGTCATAAAAGCCAGGATGATGGCTATCACCATGCAAAACAGAATGGGACAACTTGCCATGGCCATCTTGCTGTGGTCAATTTGCTACAGCCAAGTCGCCAAGGCCAACTCGCTGTGGGACAATTCGCCACAGGACAATTCAACAATTCCATTTAATTATTTCAAATAATTAAAACATTACTTTAATTTTTGTCATTACATTTCATTTCGGCATCCTTTGGCATCCTTTCTTTATTCCATCATTTCATCCTTTTTACTCCATCATTCCTTCGATATTACTGTAGCTCTTGTCCCACAGTGAGTTGTCTCCAACAAGTTGGCCGTGGCAAGTTGGCTGCAGCAAATTGTAGCTCTCCCCAGTTTGTATATGCATTGCCAGGCTTTACTTGTAGGACCCTGACCGCCATCCTGGCTGTTTTAGACTGTCCTTACTCTGGACACCCCTGCACTATTAACTCTAGAGGGAAATCATGATTGCTGTCCATTGTATTGCAACAAGTTGGCTTGTTTGAAGTTGCTGGCAATGTTGCTATACAACATGGAAAGACACAGCAGGAAAAGAAATACAGTTAGTTCTTGACTTATGACAACAAGTGGTATTAGAATTTCCTTGCTAATCAAGATGGTTGTTAAATGAATCACATCTGGTTTTACAACCTCTTTTCCCCGCAGTTGTTAATTGGATCACAGCAACTGTTAAATGAATTATGCAGTTGCTAAGTGACACTGGCTTCTGCATTGATTTTACTGACAGTTAGGAAGATACAGATAGAGATCATGTTATAAATATATGACGGTTGCCAAGTCACCAAATTTTGATCCCGTGGATGCGGAGACGATCATAAATATGAATACCAGTTGTAGGTCATTGTAAGTCACCTAGACTAGTCCCTGAAGTTTTCTTGGCAGATTTCCAATAGTGGTTAGCCTTCTTCCCAGGTCAGAGAGAAAATGACTAACCCAGGATCACCCTGACAGCTTTGACTAAGACAGGACTAAAACTCATGGTTTCCAGTTTCTAGCATGAGGCCTTCACCACACACCAAACTGACAATCACAATATTATATCTATCTTATCCCAAAGTCTGTTTCAGCACTTCTTGCAAACCTTCCACCCTGCGCAGACATTCTTTCATGGACTATTTTTTTTGAAGGTCGGTCTGGAACTACATTTATTTTCTCCTCTGCTCAAGATGTTTAGGGAAACTTTGAGTTTTAGGCTGATGTCTCAGATCCTAGAAGGTATTTCAGAATAACAGAATAATAGAGTTGGAAAGGACCTTGGAGGTTTTCTAGTCCAACCCCCTGCCCGAACAGGAGGCACTATCCCATTTCAGACAAGTGGCTGTCCAGTCTTCTCTTAAAAGCTTCCAGGGATGGAATACCCACCACTTCTGAAGGCAAGCCATCCCACTGGTTGATCTCACTAATTGAGTTAATTGATCTCACTGTCGGGAAATTTCTCCTTAGTTCTAGGTTGCTTCTCTCTTTGATTAATTTCCATCTACTGTTTCTTGTCCTGCCTTCAGGTGCTTTGGAAAATAGGTTGACCACCTCTTTTGTGACAACACCCCAGATACTGGAATACTGCTGCCATCTACCCCTTCCGCAGTCCTTTCTTTTCTCAAGATTAGCCATACCTAATTTCTGTAATATTTCAGGACGACATCTCCTGGAAATCTAAATTTCCACTTGGTTTGGTATTTACCTGCAAGTTATGCTGAAGGAATCTCCGGTTTCCACTATAATATAGTCACGATTGATGTTCAGTTCAGGTTTCATAAGCCTTTCTTGCTTCGCCAGAGCTGAGCCGGATGGAGGGAGGGTGAGGGAGAGAGAGGAGAGAGAGGGATTAAATGAGAGCAGTTCAATTTCAACCATTTTTGTTCCTTATTTTTCATGCTAAATAATAGTAATTGCATAGTCCCATGGCTTAGGGGTTTTCTTAAAAAATTATAAAATAGAAAGTTATCCTATTTTATTGCTTGTTTGTGAAAACAAAAGTAACCTTTAACATTCCTTAGTCATTCCATCCTAATTTACAGTGCGTTTCTCCAAGATAAACATCTAAAAGAATGAAATCAAAAGAATAACCTCTTCACACACTACCCTGTTTTAAAATGTCCAATCTTAGCATTGGAATATGAATTTTCCCTTTAGTTATGTAAATTTTGGGTCGGCGATATTCCTATTGGTTAGTAACTATGGATACACGTTAGGCAATCAGATGTAGTAAATGTCATTTCACCTCACCTCACAAAAATACTAAGTGTATAACTATTTTTTTAAAAAAAGTAAAACAACCTATTCTTTGTCAGTCGATTTTGACCCTAGCTTTCTATTTATGGAACATTCGAGGGGGCTGAGATTTGAAAAATGAAAGAATTGCAGAAAGAGGAATACAGGATGGGAAAACCTGACAATTAAATATTCAGAGACAAATGTCATTGACAGGTAATGAACACTGTAAACTGTTCTCATCCATTGTTTTCTGGTGGAGAATTATCTTGCCAAATAAAGCTGCGAAGTAGCATAAATTACTTCCTATTTCTTTATGTGTTCAATTTCTATCTCATTGTTTCCTTCAAAAGTTCACACTGACATATGTAATGCTACCTTCTCCTATAATGTCACAAGCAACCTTGTGCATGGAGGGAGGGAGGGAGAGAGAGAGAAAGAGGGAGAGGGAGGGGGAAAAAGAGGGAGGGAGAGAAAGAGAGAAGGAAAGGGAGAGAGAGTTTGTTCAATGTCCTAATTCATGTTTTGCTGATTATTACATCCTCCTCCAAACTCATTTCTGGTTCTCTACATTTATAAAACCATAATGAATGGTTCGGCATTATGTGAAAATGCAGCCACATTAGCTCATTCAGTGAATCACAATTGTCAGGTACCACAAGGCATCAGAATGATACTGTGAATTGATCAGAGAAGTATCTTTATTTCGACTCATCAATTCATAAGAATCTCACCAGACTAGCCACACTTTCTTGAGAACAACCAGGTAAGTACTCTGGTGATTTAGGAGGGGTCAGGTCGTCTATGGATGAATCACACCTCAATAAAGATGACCACACTTGAAGCAGTACAGGTATTGAAACGGAACTAGCGGGTTAAGAAGCCAGTTGTAAATCATCTCAAACACTTTGCAATGCATTGCCAACCATGTGCACCATGACTTCATCAGATGCAAATGTTCTGATTTGCATCGGTTGCCACTACTGTCACAATGTCCTGACAGGTGTGAAATATTGACTGGCTGAATCAAACAGCCCTGACAAAGTGCAAATTTAGAGTGGCATTGAATTGCTGTCCAAATATATAATCTGGACAGGTTTTTTTTTGTTAATGAACATGTGAAAGTGAAACAAATTGGAAAATAGAGTAAAACTCCTATGTCCTATGTCAGTTGAAATACCTGTGGTGCAAATCCATATTTATTTTGCAATAAAAGTAGTCCTTCAGAAGAAAAATAAGTTGGGTGATAGCATAGGTTGGATTATGGAAGAATCTTATCTATGGTTTCCACCAAGGTCCCCACAGTTCTCCTCCTCCTCCTCCTCCTCCTCCTCCTCTTCCCCTACTCCCTTCTAACACTGATGATGTTCTCTAATTGGGTCATGAAATGCCTGCAAGAAAAGTTAAGAGTCCCCCAAAGATTCCACAGTTCAACCCTGGTCTGCAAATGTTCTCTTCTCTCAGTACCTTTTAAACATGCATTGCAGGTATGCAAAACAGTGTATGGTGTTGATTCCCTCAGTGACCTCTCTCATGGATAAACATAACATCTAGGTTTGTGTCCAGCATTTTAATCAGTGGTGGGATTCAAATAATTTCACAACCGGTTCTCTGCCCTAATGATTTCTTCCAGCAACCAGTTCACCGAACTGCTCAGCAAGTTAACAACCGGTTCTCCCAAACTGGTGCGAACTGTCTGAATCTCACCACAGATTGGAACGCATCTGAACCCTCCTCCCAGCTAAATTTCCTTTTAGGTGCAAGCCAGCAGACTTTCTCTACCTTATCTGAGGTCCTCAATTTATTTCCAACTAAGCTTATTTACATTCAATGTAAAAAAACATATGCTGTTTCATGCACCGTTAAAATGAGAATGCCCCTCTTGTGTGGCTCGTCCTAGCTCCAATTAGATTTGCTCTGTAGAGTCACCAACACTGGAGATGGGAGCGCCACTCTGAAAATATCTGCTTTTACTAGCATTATTACACGGCAGCGCTGGGCGTCCCACATGGCCCCCTCTTTGCAGTCCTAACAAACCTAACGGCCCTATTTAAATGAGGTCAGGGTGAATCAGAAATATGCTGTGTTTCCCCGGATGGCTTTGAAAGGGCCATTATGGGGACTGTAAAAATCATTTTAGGTGTTCTATCTCAGCCAGGATAATTATGACCAGTAATAAAGACTCAGCTGTACAAATGCAAGTCATAATTCTGTGGGAATGCAGGAAAAACACCCGAGCAGGCCTTTGATGTGCACATACACTCCTTTGCCGTGTGATCAGAAATGTTTTTAAAAGACTTTACAAGAGAACCGAGCAGGGCTAAGATTTTCTTCAGCAGGAGGTGTGGAAGGAGTGTAAAGCATTAGTACCCATTTACAAAGCCTTAGTAGGACCACCCTTGGAATGCTGCATCCAGTTTCAGCCACCATATTATAAGAAAAATGTAGAGACTCTGGAAAGTGTTAAGTATGGAGAATAACGGAGACCAGACATCTGACCAGTGACTTCAACTCTTTAATAAAGTGATAGAACATAACAGAGCAATGCTATCGGCAGCAGTAACCCTTTTATAGGGTTAGCTGCTGCCTTATTAACCAATGAAAATGTGCAACAGGTTCCAACTACTGACCAATAAGGACAGTCCCAAAAGTGGCCAATCAGGGACTGGTTCTGGCCCAATCCCAAGTTGTTGTATAAGGACCAATCAAGTGTGCAGGTTTTCAACCCCTAATTTGCATTTAGGTTATTCACTTTTATTGATTCACAACAGAAAGAGTGCAGAGAAGAGCAACAAAGATGATTAGGGGGCCTGGAGGCTAAAACATGTGAAAAATTGGTTTCAGGGATTGGGTCGGGGTGGGATGCAAATATTTTTACTACCGGTTCTGTGGGCATGGCTAGGTGGGAGTGGCTAGGTGGGCATGGCCATGTGACTGGGTAGGGGTGGCTTCTTCTTCTTCTTTTTTGCAGCACACACACACACACACACACACACACACACACACACACACACACACGCTCCGTTTTTTGGCCTCCTGGGCCTCAGGGAAGCCTCCTGGGCAAAGCAGTAAGGCAGCAAGGAAGATCATCAGAACAGCTGATCGTTGGGAGGGGGGAAGAAATACCAGTTCTGCCGAACCCGTAGAATCCCGCCCCTGGATTGGGTTTGTCTAGACTAGTGAAAAAAAGGACAAGGGGGAGACAGGAGAGCAGTTTTGCGATATTTGAGGGGCAGGTTCAACCTCTTCTCCAAAGCCCCTGAGGGCAGGACAAGAAGCAACAGATGGAAACTAACCAAGGAGAGAAGCAATCTGGAATTAAGGAGGAATTTCCCGACAGTGAGAACAATTCATCAGTGGAACGACTTCCCTCCAGTGCTCAAACATTAGAGACTTTCAAGAAGAGACTGGACAGCTATTTGTCTGGAATGGTATAGGACAGTGGTGGGATTCAATTTGTTTTACTACCGGTTCTGTGGGCGTGGCTTGGTGGGCGTGGCCAGGGAAGGAGACTGTAAAATCTCCAGTCAGAGGCGGGATTTGCCGGTTCTCTGAACTACTCAAAATTTCCGCTACTGGTTCTCCAGAACTGGTCAGAACCTGCTGAATACCATACAAGCAGTATGATAAATCATGATCATAATCATAAAATATAATCATGATAAATCATAAGATACAACACCCAAATGAAAACTGGAAGAAGTGCATCTGTCTTGTATCAGTGGGGATGGAAAAATTTCCCTTATTGTGATTGTGGAGCTGATATGCAAACTAGTAAACATATTGTGCAAGATTGCCCCATGATTTCTGTTTTCTGGTTCCCTGGAAGATCTGCATGAAGCAATGCCAGAGGCATTCAGCCTAAATAGCTGAACTGGACATCCAGTTAGAAGGCCCCTACAATACCCCCATAACTTATAATTACATGGACTGTTTACTTCTACCATGTTCTCATCATACGTTAAATAAATAAGTAATAAGCACAACTCACAAACGCTGCCAGTATTAGAGAGGAAACTTCAGCAGACACTCTCAGGACCAGATATTCCTCACAAATGCTTATAATCCTGACAATAATACACTCAAGATCGCTCATAAGAGGTGGAACTTCTTGGCCAAAAGAATATACATCGGGTATAGTTGTAAAGAAGGATCTGTGTCCTTGGAGAAACTTGAACCAAACTGCAACCAGACTTTAACACGTGTGTGTGTGTGTGTGTGTGTGTGTGTGTGTGTGTGTGTGTGTTTTCCTTACTCCCCATTCCACCCTGCCAAAAAGTTGAACCAAACCGTACTGGATAAATCCTCAAAAATGTGTGTGTGTGTGTGTGTGTGTGTTAAGTAGACTGGTTTGCTCATTCTCATTTCACAATCCTAGAAAGCAGATCAGCTGGCTGTGCTTCACAAAGCAGATGATGATATACGACACATTGAAGGAAACCATCCAGCTTCTTGTCTGACTCTCCTCTGTTGTGGTCTGATAGGAGTATTGTTCACCAACGGGAAATTTGGCCTCAGAGTAGCAATAACAGTAGCAATAACAATAGCACTTATATGCCACTTTATAGTGCTTTAAGCACTCTGTGAGTGGTTGACTGTGTTGCTCCCAACAATCTGGCTCCTCATTTTACCAACCTCAGAAGGAGGGAATGCTGAGTCAACCTTGAGCCCATACTGCACTCTAGCCATTATGCCAACAGAACTCCTCCCTTTCCCTAGAGATGTGGGAAGGAAGGAAGGAAGGAAGGAAGGAAGGAAGGAAGGAAGGAAGGAAGGAAGGACCCTGAGTTGTTCAGAGTCCTAACAAGTGGTGTTTGTTTGTTTGTTTATTCAATTTCTATAGCCCCCATATGACTCTGGGTGGCTTAGAAGTGTTTTTGCAACAGGGTGTCCACAGCTGATTGACTGACAAAATGAGCATTACAACCCACCCTCTAATCCAAGAACAAAAGGGATGGCATTTGTCTCACAACCTGACATTACAGGCTCTGTCACCACTCTTACTCTATGGCAGTGGTAGTCAGCCTGGTCCCTACCGCCCCACTAGTGGGCATTCCAGCTTTCATGGTGGGTGGTAGGGGTTTTGTCCCCTACTTTAAAATTATATAATTATAATTATATAATTATAATTATATAATTACTGTGGAACCAGTGGGCGGTTAGAAAAATGTACTACTAACAGAGATACAAAAGTGGGCGGTAGGTATAAAAAGGTTGACTACCCTGCTCTATGGATTGCTGTAACTTCCCAGCCTGGCCTAAGCTCTGAGGCTGAGATGTACAGGCCTCCTGATTTTCCCGTGAGCATCCAAGTGGTTCTGCACCCAAGTCCTAGCCAAGACTATCTATCTTGTTTAGCATGCTTGCCCACCCGAGGTCAGCCAGGGGCTGGTGCCTGCGGAGACCTCAATCTGTGAGCTACAATCTTCTCCCTTCCTGTATGTCATGCAAAAGGCACTTTGGCTTCACAGCCCCCTCCAGACCAATCCTGGCTAGTGAGAATATCATGGTAAGGCTTCTCAGAAAGTCTGTGCCAACAGATTCATCACTGTGGGCTTCTGTGATGTACCAGCAGTGTGAAGAAAGGATCAGTCCGCATGAACAAACCCCACCGTAAATTTTCTGCAGCCCAACAATTGCTCTGGTGCTATCTTCACCAAAATTAATTTCCCTTTGAAAATCGAGCTCTGTCTTGTAACCCCAGACTTTATCCAAGCATGTTAAAAAAAGAGAGAGAAGACATTCCCATTGACATGATCATTACACAAAGACCGCTCTTCTGAGAGCCTCTTAGCATCAACCACCCAAGCCATAAGTCTACAGGAGATAGTTCCAGCACATGTGCTTTTCAGAAACTTTAAACAGCCACTTGATGCCAAGCACAACACAAGCAAGGCAGATGTTTATTCCTCCTCCCAAATTGCTAGATTTCAAACAGCATCTTGTGGAGAAAGCAGCCCAGGAACATGTGCTATGGAAACATGGCAATAGTGGCTCAGCCTGGAAGCACCTCAGCTGAATCTTGTTGATGATGAATGACCTGGGAAGATGGACATTCCGGCTTGGTGATCAATAACAACAGGAGGAAAAAAAGGGTCCCGGGCAGGGGTGGGATGCTACCAATTCTGCCTGGCTCTATAGAGCCGGTAGCTCTGAAGAGCAGCAGACACCAAACCGGTTCTGTTTTTGCTGTTGTGTAGCCCACCCGCCTGCCTGGGCTCTTACCTGTCCTTTATTTCCTGCTTTTTCAACCTCAGCTGCTTTGCACGGAACAGGTGAGGTTGAAAAAGCAGGGAAAAAGAGGCTTTTCAAACGCTGCGCACCTGCGCGCTGCACTTTTCAACTGTCTGGGCGGCACAGTTTAAGGTTTTTTTACACGTGCGTGCAGCAAAACGTAATCCAAACGTAATTGGTTCATGGTAGTAATGCCGGTTGAATCCCACCCCTGGTCCCAGGACATTGACCACTGGGGTTTGGTGGTATCTGACTTCTGAATTGGCCAGGGTTGGTATAAATAATTCAAGCTGCATCTTGGAGCCTTTGGTACTCTCTGAACTTACTTGTTTGCTTGCAGGAATATCATTACCATACTAGGTAATAGCAATAGCACTTAGACTTATACACACTGCTTTGCAGCTACGTGGTTTACAGAGTCAGCCTCTTGCCCCCAACAATCTGGGTCCTCATTTTACTGACCTTGGAAGGATGGAAGGCTGAGTCAATCTTGTGACTTGATAACTTGATAAAAAAAAACATTCACAAAAGAGACATAAAACAGGATGGATCAATGACATCAGCAAGTATGGTGGGCCTAGTTGGCAAAAGAAAGCTTGAGACCATATTGGTTGGAAACATGCAGAAGAAACCTTCATCCCGCAGTGGATAAACCATGATGACACTAGAATGATGATGATAATGACTAGGTAACACCATCAGTGAAAGGGAATGTGGGGTTTGCTCCCTGTTAAGAGTCAGTAGCTTGTCCTGCCAGCATTGGTGAGAGTAAAGCAAATTCAAGAAGGCTGGAGAATTCTTGGAAGCTTGGCATTCAGACAAATCAGTCATCAGTAGACACAAAAAACTAAACCACAATAAACAGCTAAGAAGGTAACAAAAAGACCACAACACATCCTCATCAACGCACAGATAAGCAGGGATTAATACCAGACAAGCAAGTAAGAAACAATATCCTAATCCCACCAAGGAGAAAGCCGCACCCTATCAACTCTTGCTAGGGAATTCTGGGAGTTGAAGTCCACTTATCTTGCCAGAGTTGAAAAACATTGATTTAGATCAGGGGTCTCCAACCTTGGCCACTTCAACACTTGTGGACTTCAACTCCCAGAATTCCTCACCCAGTTTTGCTTTGCTTTCCAGGCTGAGGAATTCTGGGAGTTGAAGTCCACAAGTCTTAAAGTGGCCAAAGTTGGAGACCCCTGATTTAGATGGTCAATAGCTATATTGGGGGGGGGGGGGGTGGGGAGGAATGGGGCTGGTTTTTGTTAGACTATCTTCCCTATTGCCTGTTATTTGTCTCTGCACTCAACTGGAATCTGGTGTGCCCTCTGCTCCTTTGTAAAATGCTATGCCTTTTACAAATGCATCTTGTTATCCATTATAAATTTCAAGCTGGAGACAGCCAGACACTTGTAAATATGCAGCACCATGTTTAAATATTTATGTCTAAACATATTAGAGCCTCTTAATTTGCATCCTGCAATTAGAAAAAGATATGCTTGCCAATACAGGTCTGCACCCCCTTCTTTTCCACCTGTTCCATTCCAAACAAAATGGTAAAGCATCCAAACCACTAAGTTTAATAGTTCTGCTGCTTTTAGAAAACATTTGTTTTCCATTACCCTGGACTTTTCTTCACTGCGTTTGCAAGACTTAATTGTCTGTGAGAATTTTGTTTGGCTCCAAACGACCCCAGTGGCTTTGGAGGACTAAATGGAACCCTTTCTCATTCTGCACTGCCTGGATTACAGTGTTTAAACCTCACTGCCTTTAGTATAAGAGGTCTGTGCTGTACCATGTAAGACCGATGGCCATAGTTTAAAAAAAATCGTGTCTTGGATCCTGTATAGAACTGGACTCAGATGGTCTTTCAAAACTCCTTTCCAAATGGATAGGCAGAGAACTGTGCAAGGCAGAACTGCGAAAGAGAGAAAGAGTTCCTAGAAGAGCAATAAAGATGATTAGGGGACAAGAAACTAAACCGTACGATGGACAGTTGAAGGAACTAGGTATAGCTAGTCTAAAAAGAAGAAGAAGAAGGCTCGGGGGGAACCTGATAGCCATCTTCCCATACTTCAAGGGCTGTCACAGAGAAGAGAGGGCCAAACTATTCTGGGCCTGAGGGCATGACAAGAAATAATGGGTAGAATATCATAAAAGAAAGATCTAAGGAGAGATTTCCCATCAATACAAACAATTAACCAGGGGAACGGCTTGCCTTCAGAAGTGATGGATGATCCATCAATAGAGGTTTTTAAGCAGAGGTTGGATAGGCCTTTGTCTGGAATGGCATAAGGTCTCCTACCTTGAGCAAGGAGTTGGACTAGAAGACCTTTAAGGCCCCTTCTGATCCTTTTATTCTATGGTCAAGCTGGGTCAGTACTAACTTCTGCAGGAAAACAAGCCCTTACTCATGCCTGGATCCCTGATTAACTGCAAGGGTAGCCTCAAAGGTTAGAAAATATTTTTTTAAATTACTGAAACATAGGAGGAATGATTGCAGGAATTGGGTATGGCCAGCTAGAGAAAAGAAGGACTGCGGGGACAGGATAGCAGCATTCCAATATTTGAGGGGCTGCCATTAGAAAAGGAGGTCAACCTATTTTCCAAAGCACCAGAAGGCAAGACAAGGACCAATGGAGGGAAACTCATCAAGGAGAGAAGCAACCTAGAACTAGAGACATTTCCCAACAGTGAGAACAATTAATCAATGGAACAACTTGCCACCAGAAGTTGTGGGTGCTTCTTTCTGGGATTTTTAAAGAAAATACTGGACAGCCACTTGTCTGCAATTGTATAGGGTCCCCTGCTTGAGCAAGGGGTTGGATTAGAAGATTTCAAAGATTCCTTCCAACTCTGTTATTCAAGGCCATTTGAACTTGAAAGTTGCCATCTTGCCAACACTTTATATTTTCATCAGGAGTTGACATGGAAAGCAGAATCATCATGCTGGAAAACACACGTCAACAGTCCCCGTCCCTCGGCTCCAGACACCAACTTTGCTAACACATTATGAGGAATGTGGCCTATATTTTTGTACACCCATTTGCTTTGTGCTGTTGTGGACAAAAGGAGCCACCTTTGCCTCTGCTTCTGATCCAGTTAAGCTTCTGCATGTTCCTGGTAGGTTGCAGAAGAAACATTGATTAGGGAACTGGAAGCCAGCTGGGAACATACACTGATGTTCCAGCTGCCAACAGGATGATTTGTAACCCATTTCCCAATATTTCTTTTTTTTAAAAATCTATTGGATTTTCCACCTTAAACAAAGCCATGGCTTTAGGCAGGTCAAAGAACAGCCACGGCTAAAGAGAAAATTTAAAAAAAAGTTTTCTCTGGTAAATAACACTCAGAACAAACATCTTCCTCAACCCCAGGCTCTCCAGATGTGCTGGAGTTCAAAACTTCATCATCTCTAGCCAAGGATTCAGGGGATGATAAGAGTTCAAATCCAGCACCGTGGAAGCCAGCATGGATTAAGAAAGGCCTGTATGGAAAGCTTTGGTTTTTCCAACTTTGCCTTGAGATGAGCAAGAAACCAGATGCCTGGAAAAATAAAGCAATGATTCTCAACTTGAATGATAATGGTGGGAAATCTGTGTCTGTAGTTTTATTCGAATATTTTGAATGCTATCAGGACTAGAGCGACATGATAGCCGTTTTCCAGTATTTTAGAGGCTGTCACAAAGAAGAGGACTTGTCAACTTGTTGCCAGAGGACAGGAGAAGAAGCAAAGGATGGAAACTAATCGAGGAGGGAAGCAACCTAGAACTAAGGAGAAATTTCCCGACAGGGAGGAGAATTAACCGGTGGAACCGCTTGCCTTCAGGAATCGTGGCTGCTCCATCACGGGAGGCTTTTAAGAAGAGACTAGACAGTCACTTGTCTAACATGGCATAGGTTCTCCTGCTTGAGCAGCAGGCTGGACTAGAAGACCTCCAAGATCCCTTCCAACTCATTCTGTATTCTGCATTCTTTTTCATTTCCAAAAGCTTCCCTGTTGCTATTCTCTCATCCTGTCCTCTCCCTCTCCCTCCCCTCCCCCCTCGTAAACACACTTTTTCAAAAAAAACATCAAGAATGTGCACTTTCTCTGATTACAGATAGTCCTCAACTTACGGCCACAACTGGGATTGGAATTTGCTTTTTGTCCTGGTTGTTAAGTGGACCACTGCATGTGTGAATCCCATGGTGGTTAAGAGAATCTGCCTTCAAGGTGATGCTGAGTGGCCTATCAAGACAAACTCCACCTTGCGTTTTTTTCCTACTTTTAAAAAGAGAAATACACTGCCTTGGCACTCTTCAGTGAGGAAAATTAAAACCATCTCGCACAACCTAGTTTAAAGACCACTAGCAAAGCACTCACAATAAACAGTACTTTCTCTGTCTCTCTTTGGTCATGTGAATCTGCCCCCAGTGCCAAGAATTACAAGCACCAAAGTTGGGTGCAGTTGAGATTTGCAAAAGGGGTTACGCTAAACATATAAATGACCCCATAAAAATGGTGCCAGGCTTTGAACTACCATGTCAGCAGTGGACAAGAGGATTTGCACTTCACACAGCATCTGCAGCATAAATGTGGCATAGCATCCTCCCCTCAGTGGGACTGTGCAGTCCCCTGTCAAACTGTAGACCATATAGTGACCGGCTGTAAGCCGAGGGCGTATACCAGTCCAGTAACTAATTATTTTTAATATAAACAATGCTGCATTTCAATGGTTAGATGGCCTAGAGTCTAGACCAGGGGTCCCCAATCCCCAGGCTATGACCCAGAACTGGACACTGCAGCCCATTCAGAACTGGGCCGCACAAGCAGCAAGCAAGCACATGCACACAGCTCCATTTGCATGAGTGGCGGGCACTCACATGTCTGCGCAAATGGAGCTGTACCTGCCGCTTGTGTGGAACAATTTCCTCTCCCCGCCCCACCAGTCTGTAAGGTGGGAAAGTTTGGGGACCAATGGCTTAGACCTTGACATTAGAACATAGGTAAAACACAGTCTAGGTGTAATGTTAATATGTTAGTCCATGTATGATATGCCCAGGGGTGGGATTCAAATTTATGCTGAAAGAAAACCGCAACAGAACTACGGTGGCCTAGGTCCATTTGGGGAGAACAGAGGCCAGCCTTTTAGAAGCATATCGGCGACAATTAGATTAAGTGCTACAAGGTACTACGCTCTGCTGGGTTCTGACACAGAACTTAGCGTGGCTCAAATTCAGCCACCGGGCTTTGCATGAGCCTGCTAAGCAGACCTGCTTAGGCCAATGCTCAACAGGCTCAACTTCTGAGGCTTGAAATGCTGACAACAGGCAGGCGCTCTTCAGGCCTCCAGACCAAAGCTGCCTCTCCAAATGTTCTTTGGGAAAAACCAGGATGCATTTTGTGCCAAGCATGTTGTCCAGCTTGGGCTTCAGGGTGCTGGATTCTGCCCCAGGGATCCTCTGTGGATCCCTCTGGTGCTTTCAGCAAAGGACTTGAGCAGGGGAGCCTGGCTGGAAGAGACCCAGGGACAGCCTGGGTGGGGCAGCGGCAGGCGTAGAAGAGAGAAGGGAATAATTTTGTTTTTTGCTGCGCATGGGCTAATTATTGCTCCATAAATAAGTGGCGTGTGTGGTTAATGCAAAACAGATTTTCCTCCCCAGTGTGGCCACCAGCGAAATTCTTCCCGCGCAAGTTATCAAAAACATTATGTCACAGCTGCAGAGGAGCTGAATAAACAGGGCAGAAAGCAGGGTTGTATAAGGAGACTGCAGGAAAGCTAATTTTGCAAGGGGGGAGGGGGAAACGGTGGGTTGGAAATTGCTACCAAATCCAATTTCCTAAAGTATTTGCTTTGCATGCGCATCCAACTGTCATGCTTGGGAGGCATTCTGAGGACAGAGCATTAAAACAACCTGCAACGTGAGAGACAGCCTTTGCTCATCAACTCCCAACAGCTACTATTTTCTTCTTGTTTCAAAGTCTGGCTGCAGCACACACGTTAGCAGGCTTCAGAGTGGTTCTTTCCTGAACTAGGATTCTACCTGTGGATGAGTGTGTAACAGAGAGCAATTGCAAGGGGAAGATTAGACTGCCTGTTGCAAAACTTTAATGCTCACGTGCACCCAGTTCTGATGAGGAGCTCAGAATATTAGGAGCTGGAAACCGTGGAATAACGACGACTTTTACTTCTGTGTCGGAAGCACAGTGTCAAAGTGCTTCCGAGGAGAAAAGATTTGCCAGTGACATTATCATTGCCCAGGGGACATGCAGTTGGAGGCTCATTTTATGCTTCTTTCGTGACCCCATGAGTGGAATAACTGGATTTATGTATGGTATATGATTTAGGGTATGGCCAGTCTAGAGAAAAGAATGCTAGCTTTATTCCAGTCTTCGAGGGGCTGCCACGCAGAAGAGGAGGGGTCGAAGAACTAGAAAGTAAGACAAGAAGCAATGGACGGAAACTAATCAAGGGGAGAAGCCACCCGGAACTAAGGAGACATTCCCTGACAGTGAGAACAATTAATCAGTGGAACAGAAGTTGCCCCCAGAACTTATGGATGCTCCAACACTGAAGATGTTTAAAAAGAGACTGGACAGTCATTTGTCTCAAATTGTTTGGGTTCCCCTGCTTGAGGAGGGGTTGGACTAAGACGCCTCCAAGGTGCCTTTCAGCTGTACTCTGGTTGAAGGATTTGACGGGGTTGGTACAAGATCTCCTGGCTTGATCAATGTTGGAAGAGATCTAGAAGACGTCTCAGGTCCCTTTCAACGCTGTGGTTCTATGTTCTATCTTTTGGTGTGTTTTTTTGTAACATCTGCACTTGTTTGCCAGATACAAAACATTGTGCGCACTCTCTATAAATATGCTGTAGTGATCCTATTTTCTTAAATGAAATAAAATAAATGACAACTCTGAAAAAGGGATAAGTCTGAAAGAGGTTCATAAGGATATAAAAACACAATTTTTGATGTTTATTATTTTGTTTTACCAAAGAAAATTCAAGAGTGAATCCAAGAAAACCAAGAAAAAAAACCCCTTTAATGCATATCCTAATAAAACTATCTAAAATCAAACAGTGTGGGGGAAATTATTTTAAGGAAGACAATTTAATTTCCATCGTTTTTCCACATGAATGTGAGAGACTGGACGTGAAGGGGTATCATCTGTATCGTAAAAGTTAAATGGCCAAAATGAAGAGCCAAAGTGAGCTTGTGAAAAATCAGTCAACCTGGAGGGCAGCTTGATGAAATAAGGGACTGTTCTTTATAATAATAAAGGGCGCAGTTAGGAATCTTTACTTCAAAGGGGCACTACTTCTCCTTAATGAAGAGCATCTTATTGATTGACTGATTGATATTTTCAATCATCCAGGTCATCATTGCCCCAAAAGCACTTTTTCAAAAAGACATTTGGATTTTCTTGGTGTTTTTTTTTCTCTTTGAAAACCTTTCACTTCTCATGCAAGAAGAACTGAAAAAACTTCTTGGATGAGAAATAAAACATTCTCAAAGAAAAAAACTCAAGAAAGTTCAATTATCTTTTGGGGGGGAAACATGTTTGGTATTCTTATTATTTACTTACTTACTTACTTACTTACTTACTTACTTACTTACTTACTTACTTATATGCTGCCTTTATTACTTCTACAAATACCTCAAGGCAGTGAACATATACAACATATCTTTCTCCTCCTATTTTCTCTACAACAACCCTGTGAGGTGGGTTGGGCTGAGAGAGAGAGAGAGAGAGAGAGAGAGAGAGAGAGAGAGAGAGAGAGAGACTGGTCCGAAGTCACCTCAATGCCTTTCATGGTTAAGGCAGGATTTGGACTGCTTTCTAGCCTGGTGCCTTAACCACTAGACCAGGGGTGTCCAACCTTGGCAACTTTAAGCCTGGAGGACTTCAACTCCCAGAATTCCCCAGCCAGCAAAGACCAAACTGCACTAGACCAAACTGTCTCAAACTGTCTGATCCTTAATGTGTCATTCTCTTCTATGAAGCAAAAAGGGCATAGAGTTTGCCTTGACAAACCACTTAGCAATACCCCTAATAAGCATCTTTTGGGTTTTTCTGTGCTGGAAAATGCTGAGCAAAGGCTTCAATAAATTTCCTGCCCCAAGAAGCTCCATTCTCTCTAATATGCAGCCACTGTGGGATGGAATGTTTTTATTCTGACAAACTTGTGGCTTTTAAATTGAGTGTGGTTACTGATGCAGAGTTCAGCAGGAGGGTACTTTTGAAAATGGGTCTACTTTTCTCTCCCATGATGCAAGGGTATCCAAGAGGGGTTGGGGTGGTCAAAAAAGAAAATGGCAGACATGACCTCATGATCAAACAACTTTACACGCAGTGCCATGTATGAAGCATGTTATAAATAGGCAGGACATAATTGTGGGGCCCTGGCTGCCTTTTTGAACTCTGCAGTAGATGTTCCTACTATGACATTTAAAAAGTAAGGTAATAGTTGAAGAGAATATATGTGGCTCATAGTTGAACTGTGGGTTCATTGAGATTATTAATCTAAAATAATCTGAGATTATTTTCTTGTATACATTTCATTACCCAGTTTGCAATGTGATGTTGGTGGGGTTGTTCTTGGTCATTGCTTTATTGGCCTCTCATGACTGTGGGGATGCTGCAACAGTCGTGAGTGTGAAAAATGGTCATAAGTCACTTTTTTCAGTGCCATTGTAACTTTGAATGGTCACTCCATGCAAGCAAATTACCAGCAAAGGAGGGGGAAAAAACTCCACAGAAGTTCCTGAGACAGGAAGTCTAGTCCTGCCAAGAATGTAATAAGGGTTAACGGAGAGGCAGTTTCTGTAAGCAACACCAGAATGTTTCCTTCCTGCCTTCCTTACAGGATTAGGCCAGTAATTTCTTCTAACAACTGGTTCTCCGAAGTGCTTAGAATGTTAACAACCGGTTCTAGCGAATAGGTGCGAACTGGTTGAATCCCACCCCTGTCTATTTCAGACAATACCGATTAGAATACAGAAAAATTATTTTGTAGAACTTAACAGGACTATTGCAAAATTTATCTGGCAAGGCAAAAAACCTAGAATAAATCTAAAAGCATTACAAGATATGAAGAGCAGAGATGGTATGGGACTCCTGAATTGGGAATTATACCACAGTGTAGCTTCTCTGGTATGGTTGAAAGAATGAGTGAACTTAACCAATAAAAGAATATTAGTATTAGAAGGCCACGACCTACAGAGGGGGTTGCATGGCTTCCGGGGGGATACAGGGACTACTAAACAGAAATATTTTCATAGACATTTAATCAGAGATTCCTTATTGTGTAATTGGATCAAAATTAGGAAAAAACATTATGTAAAGATTCCGATTTGGATATCAGCAATGGAAACAATGATTCACCCCAATAATTTGGACATGAATAAGATGATAAAATATAAAGATTTGCTAGATATGCAAGGAAATTTGAAAACATGGCAGGACCTCCAGGAACAAGGGCTACAAATTGACTGGTGGGCTTAACTCCAAGTGCAGAATAGGTATAGACAAGATATGAAAGAATATGGAATTCATATGAAACTACAACAATTAGATAAAATTTTACTAGGCTCAGACAAAAAAAAAAAAACTAAATTTTATAATTACTTATTGGATATAGAATTAGAGGAAGAAACAGTCAAGGGTAATATGATAGCCTGGAGTTGAAACATAGGCCGTAATATCAGTTTTACAGAATGTGAGAGTCTCTGGAACACCACATGTGGCGGTCCTGCATAGAATCTCAAAAATATTGGCTGAGAATTAAAAAATGGTTGGAAGAAATCACGAATGAATAGGGATATTTAGGGAAAAATATGCCAAAAATGTTAAATACATAATACTATATATACTGACTGCGGCCAGATTGGCCTATGCTCAATGTTGGAAACAGTCTTTACACTCCACCAGAAGAATTTTTATTTGTCTGTGAAATATGGCTCAACGCATCCCTCCCTGACTCCATTACCTCAGTAAGAGACTATCATGTTTACCAATTGGATCGTGAAATCTGTAGAGGAGGTAGTGATGCTATCTTCTATAAAAAGTCCTTACATCTAAAAAACATCCAAGTTACCCAAGAGCTTGCTCTTCCTGAGACCATTATCTGTGAACTGTCCTTAAATATCACATTTTGGTTCTTATTATGTTACAGAGCCCCTGATTATGACATCGAACATGTAAACAAGCTAAATACACTACTAACATGGGCAGCATCCTGCCCACACGCTTTTATCTTTCTTGGTGATTTCAATCTACCTCATATTGACTGGACCCTAAATGAATGTACAACTGAAATCATACACACAACCTTCTACAATGCTATTACAAATCTGGGACTGGAACAACTAGTAACCAACAACACTAGACTAAACAACTGCCTCGATCTCATCTTCTGCAATAGTTTGAATTCAATTTACAGAATACAAATTAAAGAACACTTTTCCAACAGTGACCACAACATGATTGACTTTTGTCTCAACATACGTCCACACAAAAATCATCACAATGACAAAATCCCCAATTATAACTTCAAAAAGGCAACTATGATCTTATAATCAACGATCTCTCTTCCCTTGATTGGCAATTTCTATTCACTGGATGCAATACTGTTGAAGACCATTACAACATATTCTTAATAGAAATCAAAAGAGCCATCAAACTATATGTACCAATAACAACTCCCAAAACCAGGAAAAACAGATTACCCATAACAATAAGGAAGCTTCAATCCAAAAAGAGATCACTTTGGCGAAAAAACAAATCTAGTCACATTGCCAACTTCAAAAGCCGATACAAAAATCTATGCCACCAGATAAAAACTGAATGCACTAATTATCACATTAAACAAGAGGAAAACCTATGCACAAATTCCACCCATGCTTTCTACAATTTTGTAAACAACAAACTAAAAGACTCAAGGTCCATCCCACCCCTGAAAGGACCTAACAGCAAAGACTGCAACGACGACACCATCAAAGCACATTCTTTGGCTGAGTATTTGGAAACAGCAATGGATCAAGCCTAGTATTTCCTAGTCGAACCACAGACAACTACAATGATCTAATACATATCAATTTTACAGAAGACATAGTTGAAAAAGCACCGCACAATCTAAAACCATCTCTATCTATTGGACCCGACGGAATATGTGCCTACTTCTTAAAAAAGCTATCCACTGCCATAGCCGAACCTCTAAGCATAATCTTTGAAAAATCTTACAGGACCAGCTCCTTGCCAAATCTATGGTCACAAGCCACGGTCATCCCCATCTTCAAAAAGGGAGACCCCAGCCTAGTTGAAAATTACAAACCAATCTATTTATGCTGCGTCACCTGTAAAGTCATGGAATCAATTATTAACCAATCCATTATCCTCCACTTAGAGACAAACAACCTACTCTCTAATAAACAATTTGGTTTCAGAAAAAAAACCTATCCTGCAATCTGCAACTCTTACACTGCAAAAACATATGGACTACATACAGACAATACTGCTACCCTCCAAAAAGACCTTGACTATGTATCAGAATGGTCAATCAAATGGCAACTTCAAATCTCAACAGATAAATGCTCTGTCTTACATATTGACAGAAAAAAATCAGAAAATAAAATACAAGCTAAATAGTCAAGACCTTGTTGAGGATCCAAACTTTGTCAAGGACCTTGAAGTACTCATCTCAAATGATCTAAGTGCTACAGCCCACTGTAACTACATAGCCAAAAAGGCATTAAGAGTTGTTAACCTAATCTTATGTAGCTTTTTCTCTGGTAATATTACACTAATAACTGGAGCATACAAAACATTTGCTAGACCAATACTCGAATACAGCTCATCAGTCTGGAACCCACATTACATATCTGATATTAACACAGTTGAGAAAGTCCAGAACTATTTCACAAGAAGAGTTCTCCACTCCTCTACTCGTTGCAGAATACCTTATGCCACCAGACTTGAAACTCTAGACCTAGAAAACCTAGAACTACGCCGCCTCCAGTCCGATCTAAATATAGTATATAAAATCATACATTGCAATGTCCTACCTGCAAATGAATACTTCAGCTTCAATCATAACAACACAAGAGCACACAATAGATACAAACTCAAGGTTAACCGCACCAAACTTGACTGCAGAAAATACGACTTCAGCAACAGAATGGTCAATGTTTGGAATACTCTACCTGATTCTGTGGTTTCTTCCCCAAACCCCAAAAACTTTAACCTTAGACTGTCTACTATTGACCTCACCCCCTTCCTAAGAGTGTGCATAAGCACACCAATGTGCCTACCGTCCCTGTCCTATTGTTTTTATTTTTCTTATAAGTATCTATCTTATGTATTCAAGACTATATTTATTCTTATATCTGTATCTTGTAAGCAATTGACAAATCAAATAAATACTAAATACTAAATTGACAATTCAAAAGATAATGAGTTGTGCAGAAATGGATAAATTAACCCTAGCCCTAAAAGATAAAGAATCATCAGAGTGTTATATGATTTGGGATTATTGGTATGAATGGATTGAGTGAAGACAGACTATATAATAAACAGTAAAGGAAGATAAGCAGTAGTTGTAGTGAATATATATTCCCATAAGATACCAATTGTAAATATTGCACAAAATAATGTTACAAATAGAAAACCACAATCTGTCGTTGTT